CTGAGTTTGCATCCAGAGTTCCTGTTAAGCCCACTATGTCTACGTTGTCCTCTAAGACCAAGCCCACCCTTGGCTCCGTTTATTAACAAATAAACACTTACATATTGTGTATCCCACCACACACCCACGGCGCAGGTGTTTTACAGCGCTTTGGCCTCTTTGAATTGCCATTAAGTGCCGCCGCGCTCTTGGTTCCTAGTTCTCCACTGCGCTCCACTTTCCACACTTTAATCCCTTGGATGGTAAGCTAAGCACAATGTCCTGTTGTTATATTACTTCAGCAGCAAGGAAGTCTGGGGCTAGACTCCTATGGCTGTCAGTTTAATATGGTACCTGGAACTACTGCCAGCAGCGATACCGCAGAAAAGAAAACGCGACCATAATGCAAGTGACCAAATTTCATTAAAAGACAGGAAGTAAGTTTGCAGATAGCCCCTTTGCTGGTGCTACCGATGTCTCAGCAATTGCAGTGTTAGCATACAGGGAAAGAGAATTTCAGAATCTGCTTTGAAATGGCCTTTATTACTAGCAGTAGTAGTTATTCTCCACGGAATGTTGCAGGTTTCGCTGAGAGAGGCTTAAGCAAATCAATGTAATACAAACCTGAATTATTCATCCACCTTTCGGTCAACTCTTCTACTCAGAGAACCGTTAGGGACTTCAACCTGTGTAAAAGGTAACTGTTCACATCAATGGATTCCAAAGGAATAATTGCTATGCTTGGAACTTGTCTGTGTATATGACAGTGTGGTGTAGGGGTTAGAGTGTTGGGCTAGGATCTAGAGACCATACTACAAATCCCCACTCAGCCATGAAGCTCACGTGGACCAGTCACTGCTGCCAACTTACCTGTTGTGAGAATTAAATGAGGAGGGGGAGAACCATGTGTGACACCTGAGGCCTTAGGAGAAAAAGGTGGGATATAAATGCAATACACAAATCAATAATATATAGTACAGCCGTTGACTTCAATGGCTACTAAGTATAGGAGATCACTCTGCCCCCACCCCCAAAATAACTTGAAAGGTACTAAATGTAACAAAATCCACGGTTGCAAAATTTTAATAGAGAAGTTCACTGATCTGAAAAATGCTTAATAAAAGTTATGCATTTGGAATAAATTACTATTTCACTAGTCAGAGCTTTAATTACCCCAATTATTCATTAGTGAGCATTCCCATTCTTATGGCTGACTTCAGCAAATAATGGAAATGCAAAAGTTTTGGGGAAGCTCTAAAAGTAAATTTTGCATTTTAGGGGAATGATAGTACTACTATCCCAATGGCAGTGCATTATGCCAAATACTGTGACTTCATCCATTCAGCATTTCCACATATAGGACAGTTTCCAAAACATGCTCTGGCCTCTGTGGTTGTGAAGATAAGCCTTTGTATAGCTGGGCCTGTGGGGAGATCAGATTGCAATGATAAAGGTGATCAGGACGGTGATGCCAAAGAGCAGCACCAGGATCCTATGAGGAGAGTTCAATGCTCAGTGGCAGAGTATTTCCTTTTTGTACAAAGTACAATCCTGGCATCTCCAGATAGGGATGGAAACGACTCCTGTCTGAGCACCTGCCAGTCAGACAGACAATACTGAGCAAGAAGGACCAACATTCCAACTCGGATGATGCCTTCCTAGAGCAGATTACCAAGCATTCAAAAAGGAGAGATACAGGGAGGAACTGATCTGCGAAATGAAAGTACTCGGAAACTTGGGAGGAAGTGATCACGTCTTCCTGGGTTTTATGATACAGATGCAAGGGAAACCTGAGTGTAGTCGGACATGCGCTCTGGACTTTAAGAAGGTCAATTTCAAAAAACTGAAGGAGCTGCTGGGTGAGATCCCATGGTCAGAAATACTCAAAGAGAAGGGAGTTCAAGATGGATGGGGGTTTCTAAAAGGAGAAATATTGAAGACCCAAATGCAGACAATTCCAACAAGAAAGAAAAGTGAGAGGCATCTAAGGAAACCAGTGTAGTTTTCTGATCAAAAGTATTATTCACACTTCAAAATCAAATCCATGTGACATGGGGACAAATCACACACAAACAGAAAGACTCCACATAGTCACACTGGAAAAAGCAGGCAAAATTCATATCTGGGCATTTTGTTTAATTTGGGGGTTTGGGGGGGGTATTTTTTTTTGTAAATCCACTCACAGGCAATTCGGAACAAAGGAAAGCTATTAAAGCCACAAAATAATTGATAATTTATTACTCTGAGTCTAGTCAAGACAGGAGAAATACGATAAATCTCCCTGTGGTGAACATACCTTGGAAAAAATGCCTTGGATACGTACAAGCAAATTCCCTGTGCAGTCATAACGAATTATGGATATAGCACTTATTCGCACATTTGAAGATGCCAGCAATTCAGTTGTAGAAACATGAATATAAGAGAGCAGATTACACAGAAATACATTACTGCAAACAAACTCGGCATTTTGGCAAGGAGAGCAGAAAGTAATAATGGAAAAGATAGACTTTGTAAAATGTACCACCTATATGCCCTGGAATTTCAACGTAATGTGTTGGCTGCAATTCTCAGACTGCTTGTTCTAGAATAGTCCCACAGGGTTCAAAGATCACTTGCTCAAAGTGGCTTGAGGAATAGGTTCCCCAGGGGTGACAGCAGATGGGTAGAAGGGGCAATTGCCAGTCTCCTTGGGTCAGTTCTCAATGGCTGGCAGGAGACCTCACATCCTCTCCCACCAGCTGTGAGGATTTGAATTTGGCCCACCTGCAAATTAGCCAATCACAGGCAGGCCTGAAGGCAGGCTTTGGTGGGTCAGAGCTGACTGGGACTCCTGCTGGAGTAGAGCTCTACTCAGGTCCATTTCTTGGACTTAAATAAGGCCCGCCTCCAGCGGCAGAGCAAGCTGATGGGGCGCCTGGGGCGGTACACGTACCCTGCGCCCAGGGGCAGGGCCAGCCTCCCACAGGGTAGGGCGAGCCGGGCAGGGCATTCCACGGGGCCTCCGAGGAGTCTTCCTACCTCCTCCCACTCAGCCGCCCTACAGCTGAGGGGGAGGCGGCGGGTGGGCCATTTGGGGCAGCATGGAGGCTGCGGGTGCCCAAGTCACTGCATCACTCCCAGGAGAGACGCATGGCTCGGGCGCTCTGCAGACCCTGCGGTGAGTGCCGCCGGCCAATTTGTCACTCCCCTCAGTGGTGACACCCGCTGTGAACCCTGGCACCACAGTCGCCTTTGGATCTCTCAGCAACTGGTATTTAGAGGCATATTGTCTCTGGCAGGGCAGGTAGAACATAGATATCATGGAACTTCACATACATCCTAACCCCCTGCACCCCCCTTAAAAAAAAAAACCTAGGGAGAAATTCAACATCACACTCTTCTAATTTTTCTGTCAGTGCAAGCATTTCAGCTTTGGAGAGAGCAACCTGCGATTCCCCTGAAATGGATTTCGTTCAGGGAAAGCTGTTAGCTGTACACAGCATGCAAAAAGTTCTACTTTCAAGCCATGACATCTCCAGGCAGAGCTAAGAAAGATTCCTGTCTCAGACCCTGGAAAGACACTGCCAGTCAGTGTAGACAATATGACGCTAGATGCAACAGGGCATCTGACTTCGTATAAAGCTTCTTCCTGTGTCCTTAAGTGAAAGTATGGCAAAGATATTTTAGGCTGTAGGGCTTTGCAGTTTAATGTAATTCTAATTCTAGCAAAAAAAATCTTTGCAGCACATGAATAGAACCTTATTTTTCCGCCCAAGGGCAAAGCTCTGATTAATCAGCCAATCATATAAATTAGAATTTCATGGCATATTCTTTTTGATAATTCCCTTTGGCAGGACTGTGGTGTTTTTCCTCCCCACACACCACAGTGTTACACATCCAATACTTTCCAAACACTGTGCTCCTCTTCCATTGTTTTGACCTTAGATACTGTAGCAGTGCCTCAAATCTCATGCATCTGTCTGTCAAAAATACGTTTCCCATCTGGATGTCTTTCAGTCAAGAGCAAACCTCCAGAGATCTCTGTATTAAATGACTCTCAATTGACAGAAGCGCTTTTTCATCTTTTGTAAGAATGGATCTCACCGTTATTGCACAAAAAAAGAAAAAGGTGACATTCTCACATATTGCTTCTTTAGTGCACTGCTCCGTAAATGGGGAGATCTTAGATTTAAACTCAAAGATGATACCTACCATATATTATCATCGGAGCCAATTTACCTTCAAGGCATAACTCCTCTTGGCCGTTTTCCATTGAGATCATACTTTTTGGATTACATAACTTCTTCTGTCTCGAGAGGACCTTATTGTTTTCCCTCCTTTGTCAAAATTTCAGACATTATTTGGCTATGGTTTGCAAGCACAGCCATAGCAGATTTTTCATATTAAACGTTTTTTCTTTCTTTAAAAAAAGAAATCACAGCACTGTATATTTTATGGCGAGCCAAGGGTATTCTGATTATTAAAGCTATATTCCAAGGGGAAGCTGCTGCACATCAACAGTGAAGGATGTTATAGAAAAACATAAAAGTACACTTGATGCAATGCACATGGCTGTCCCCATGCAAGGCAGGGGCTGCATCTGCACTGACGACTGAAACCCTTTGAGGGATTGTGTTTCCCCATGACCATACCATCACTTATTGGAGCTGGCTTCCATCCTAAATACCCTCTCGGCAACTCCCAAGGACTGAATAAAGGCCAGCTCTGTAATTCAGACCAGGGAATGGCCTGTTTCTGTCCAACAGTGTGCAGCAGACAGTATCAGTAGCCACCAATTTGGAGGAAAAAGAATGTGTGTGATTCATAACTAAGAAAAGGTTTCCAGCTCCTTTGGAGTTGTATATTACCGTATGATTAATTTGGGAGGTTTAAGTAAGTGGCTTTATGATTAGCAAGTCCAGTGTCTCTGGCTCGGAAGGTACTTGAGGGCCATACTGGGCAACACACTAAATCTATGCATGCATTTGTATGCACCTGGTTTTTATTTAAAATCCAGGTTTTGCATGTGGCATATCAAAATCACCTAGGATAGCTCGGTCAAGCTGCGGTAGAGCATGAGACTCTTGATCCCAGGGTGGTGGGGTCAAGCCCCGCATTGGGCAAAAGATTCATGCATTGCAGAAGGTTGTGGTCCCTTTCTAACTCTTCTGCTTACCCTTTTAACCAGAGACCCCAAGGGATTCAACCTGTGACCCTCTGTCACAAAGCTATGGGCACTCTGAGCTGAAGCTAAGCAGCTGCCTAAGAATGCCTTCAAACACAAGGTACACAGTTATGTGCCCTACCATACCAGCTCATTGGATCCCTCTTCATGCATTCTTCAAATGGATGGGCATCACATGAGTAAAGGGGCTGTGGGGATATGCCTGTGACAGTGACACCCTCCCAATGATGCACAACTCCTCTCAGCCCTGTCCCCACCATCCATGCATTGGCATAGATCTCTTTGCTGGAAAAACTTATGCTTAAACCCTGCATTAATCCGAGTTCCAAAATCAAAGGACCCCTGAATGCTTAGAGGGAAATCTACTTGCACATAGGCTTCCCTGCCTCCAGTGTCCATGGAAGATGGGACCAGAAGAAGTCATGAGCCACTGAGGGTAAGGCCAGAGGTTCAGACCTTGCATTCACACCAGTAATGCATTAAAGGGGTAAAATCAGTGCTTTTTTTTCTTGGAGGACACAGGGGGACACATACCCCTAAACATTTTGTGAATCTAACAGGAGAAGAAACAATTTTTAAAAAACCAATTAGTTTCTTCTCTAGCACGGTGAATCACCAGTTCCGTTGCTACCCCAATGGCGGCCTCATTTCCTGCCATGGTGTTTCCTGACTCTCAGATGGAAGTGAGCGTTTAATGTGTGAAGCAGTGTGGAATGTGGATATGCGGTGTTTTACTGATGAAGGTTTGGCCTTATTGAGGGGCAGCATTTCAACATGAATAGGAAGATGTTAGTGCTCACAACCTCATGCCAGTGTGGAAGTTACTGTGAGCTGTCAGCTGTGTAATATGAGGTAATGCATGTTCTTTGTACTTTTGTCCATTTACAGTATTTATTTTCCCCAATTTGAACTATAAAATGGTGGTTTTCTTGAGTCAAAATGAGAGTACCCCTATACATTTTTTAGGGGGGGAAGCACTGGATAAAATAGATCATGGTTTCCGAGCCATAATGCAAAAATCCTCTCTAACTATTATTAAGAACTAACCCACCCAGCCCAGCTGCTTGGCTACTTCACTTCCTTTGCCACAAGTCAATAGCAGTTCTTAAGTAAAGGGTGAGATGTCTCACCTTGAACCAAAGACACAATTATCAACAGATGCTGAGCATCACGGCCCCAATCTAGAATGCTCTTTGAAAGACTGCCAAAAATGCACGTATATTCCCAGCTGCAGCTGTACTCTTTTCATACAGCGGCCCCTCACCCTGCACCACCACATCATAAAGGCTTTTGAAACCTTTCTGCTCCCCCCATGAGTGCCAAAGAAGATTGTCACGTGGTGTCAGAAGCTGTTCTTTCCAAGGGGAGCAAAACTTTCTCTTGTTTTTGTGATGCCTCCTAGCCCCGTGATTTTGCAAACATGCAAAACTATTTCACACAGAAGAACACAGTCAGCAACCATATTTTTATTATTTTATTAGTACCTTGAAAGCCTGTTGATTATAAACTTGTTGAAACACAACACAGTCCGCAAATCAGCAAGCACGCTCAGGCTAATAGGGGATAACAAAGAGTCTTGTGCTTCTTCCTGTGTGTGCTTCTGATACATCTTACAACTCCAGAATTTACTGCCATAGAACACCATGTTTCGTTGTCATCACAATTATAAATTAATCAAATTGTTCAGCAGAATGCTTCAGCCAAGGGAACTGAATTCTCTCCCTGTTTTATTTCTGTGCAGGAGCTGCATTTTTAATACCTCCATCTCCACACTTACTTTAGTAATATTCCTTTCAGCTCCCATGCTTGACATTAGTACAATAACTAAGAGGTCCACTTACTAGTTTCTAAATCACTTTACACCTTGTATTCTGTTTTAGGAGGAGCCCACCTCTCCAGTTTTAAATCACTGAACTTCTCTTAACCAGCTACGCTGTAGTCCTTGAGCTTGAAATGAAATATCACATTTTTATTCTTCCCTGTGTAGACACAACAATCTGTTTTGTTTTTATTTAAAGGGGGGGGGAGAAACCACCAGGAAGTAAGAGTTGCCATAAACTAAGGTCAAATATGCCTGAGTGACAATAAATCACAAGCAAACGTAAACTTGTTTCCGTTGTTATCGGTTGATAAACTCAAGGATTTTTCATGAGTCCCTTGTAAATAAACTGTTTCAAATTGTGCCAGATTATCAAACTCAGCCTAGGCTTAAAATAGGCAAGTCTTGGAGCTCAGATCTGCAGAGTTACTTCCAATATAGTTAATGAAGGAGAACTGAATTCCTTTAAATAAGTGGAGTCAGTCTCCACATGGTTAATGTTTTTTTGAAAAGAAAAGAAAAGAAAGAAACACCCTTTAACACCGGAGGAAGCTCACAGCATGAAACTGGAGAAGGTGAAACTGGACCCAGTTCAATATTGTCTATACTCAGAATACCATATAACATATGTACTTGTAATTAATATTCTAACTCATTGTAAAATTGGTGGTTTTCCAAATTTTAATCAGTTTGCTGCACTGGAAACATATTACTGTGGAATTCGACAAGAGGCAATAGTCCAGAGATTTTATTTTATTTTATTTTTCAAACATGGTGGGAGTCCTGGAATTTTTCAGACCATGGCACATATTTCCACATCTCGACTTCAGCCAAAATCAGCAGGCTTAGTTCATTGTTAAATGGTTCTCTTGGGCATTTGCAGTGGAGACAGGAGTTCTAATCTCTTTTCAATTGCGCCAAATCTGCCTTCCAAATTCCACACAGATTCAAGAGAGCTTTCCTCCAGCACAAATACCAGTTTACAGGATCTCTAACACACTTGTTTAGAAAGCACCATTTCAGTAAGGCCAGGATCAAAACATACCATTATATTGGCACCATGGAAAAGAATTCTGGGATTATCGGCTGCCAGAGCAAATGTTTGAGACATAAGAGATAACTTGAAGCTAGTGGGATTTATTATTGTCAGCATTCATTATGTTCCAACAAATAATGCCACTCTGGGTCAAGGACAGCTGGCGGAGCATGGCAGAATATCAGCAAAATTCCACCATATGGTCTGAAGGCACATGAGGCTACCATGTTGCTGAAGCTAAGCAGTTCTGGGGCTGGTCAGCACCTGGATGGGAACATCATGTATCCTGCTGTGGCTTCCAGGATGGAAAAAATGCAGAATGCAAATAACAAGAAACAAATAAAATTAACCCCACTCACTACTAGCCTTAGACAAGACACTTGTATCTCAAGGGCAGCACCCCACCCACCCCCAGCTGCATTATGGGAAAAATAATAGTGTCTACTTTGTAGGATTGAATGAGATTACAAATGCGAATTACCCAGAATATTTAAAATTCGCATTCCAACTGCACAGGGATGGCACAATCAGGATTTTAACCATGGTACACAGAGTCCTAATAAAAATCTCCCCTCAAAACAGCTGTTGGCTTCAGAGAACAACCTTCCATTAGCACCAGTGGAAGATTCCGTTCCAGAGATAATAGAAACTTCATTGAGGACTGTGGCAAGGGATGAAAGGTTAAGCCACATACTGTGGGTGTGATGTCATTCATGACCCCCTGCAGCTTCCCTTTAAACTGAAAAAAGCAAGGGCATTATTTGCATGCAAGTAATGTAATGTAACATGTAGTTTGGTCCTAAGTCCCACTGATTTTACTGGCAGTGTTACGTGTGCACTTAACTGTTTCCATCTGAAATCTACAGGTCCACCAAATCCTTATCTTTTACTGCATTGTGCCCATTGTGCTTTTGAATTGGACCAACCATCAAACAATTGCAACCCAAGAGTTAAAAACAGGCTTAACAATAAATGATTGAATTCTATTAAGTAATTTATTTGGTGATCTTTTGTGATTTTGATATTCTTGGAAAATATCTCTCTGTCTATATAAATTATGTAGCTGCATTTGAAATGATATACAGGCACTGAAGTGATAGACTTTTCTTTGGTCTAATTTTCATAGTATGTGCTTGGAAATGCAATAGAAAAGAATCAGATTTCTCTCCTATTTTAGAACATGATAGCCAGCTGATTAAGAACTTGGAAGAGCTGTAACAAAGGACCTTGTTGGCCTCCGTTTGACAAAGAAGTATACTGGCTAAGAACTGCAAACCCACAGCTAAGCAACTAAAACCTTTCACAAAGAGATGTCCCAAAATGTCTAATCTTGCTCATCAAGGTCTCTGTGTTCTAGCATCTGTCCATAAGACATATTCAGCTATTGTATAATTCTCCTTCTACTCCAGTGATAAATTGTCCAGAATTTTGTTAATGTTATTCTTTGGGTTCATTTTCTACCCAAACTCTGGATTATAAATATTAGATGATGATATTATTATTATTATTATTATTATTATTATTATTATTAGAATTAGAATTTTTATACCACCCATACCTGGAAGCAAATACAATAAAAGCATACGTGTGCATTTAGATTGATGTTGTGACTGCTGAGTTCATGTAAAGGGAGTTCTTTCCCACATTATTCCATAATCCTATACCGGTTGCAATTCATTCCAGGCCATTTTGTGTCAGCCGAAGGAGACATGATCAGACTAAATGCTGCATGCATCTGACCTGGCATATGAAAAACTAGATTGCGACAACATTTGCTCCCAGCATGTGAAAGCAGACTTTGATGTTGTGGCCATCCGTAATCAAGTCAGCGAAGTGACATGCTAAACAGCCTCGACTGACTGGTTCAGGGGTTGAGAGTCAGGAGGGCACCATATCCCTGTGCATTAAGCAACTTGGTTGTAGCAGGGTAGGCAGAAGTAGAACAGGAGACAGCTAAGAGAGGTCAGGAGGATGAGGATGGCAACATGAGAACGGGCCGAAGAAGAAGAAGAAGAAGAAGAAGAAGAAGAAGAAGAAGAAGAAGAAGAAGAAGAAGAAATGCCTGACTTTAGCAGCAAAACAAACTGTTGCAATTGGATTCAGGGAACAGTGTCTGCCTAATACAAGAACTGTGGTTTGAGAGGCCTGGAAGATGACCACCTTGCCATTTCTCAGGTCTCTATCAGTCATCTCTTCTGCAGTCGCAGTGCAATCATGGTTCCCTGTTTTGCCTGAACCAAAGCCATTGTGGTCATTTTCCAGCCCTGGTGAATGCACACTGGAAGCTCAGTATGCTGTTCCCTGAACAAAGCTACAATCCTGTGCATACTTAAAGGTAAAGGTAAAGGGACCCCTGACCATTAGATCCAGTCGTGACCGACTCTGGGGTTGCGGCGCTCACCTCGCTTTATTGGCCGAGGGAGCCGGCATACAGCTTCTGAGTCATGTGGCCAGCATGACTAAGCCACTTCTGGCAAACCAGAGCAGCGCATGGAAACGCCGTTTACCTTCCCGCCAGAGCGGTACCTATTTATCTACTTGCACTTTGACGTGCTTTCGAACTGCTAGGTTGGCAGGAGCAGGGACCGAGCAACAGGAGCTCACCCCGTTGCAGGGATTCGAAACGCCGACCTTCTGATCGGCAATTCCTAGGCTCTGTGGTTAGAGGCACTGTCTTTTTACTGAATCTAGTGCTGCCAATCTGCACATGCAGTAAACCTATTATTGGCTATTGAAAAGAATCTAACCCCACAAGTTTGTGTGCCTATTTCTCCCACAGACAAAGAATGCAGAGCATAGTGACAATCCTGCACAAAGTTTATGCTCTTGAGTCCAAGGGTTGTATCCATCTTTCAATATTGTTGTGTTAGAACAAAGATATCTGTCTGCACAAGGGGACTTCCTCTCCCTCTCCTGTTCCCATGCACCCCACCCAATCTGCTTTGCAGGGTTAGGGGGAAATCCAGCAGAGATATTGTGTTTTTTAAAAAAATAATTATTATTATTGATTGGTTTTTACACATACAGGTATTTTCCAGCATATCATTCTTTTAAACATCATTTCAAATTTCTTTGGCTATCACAGCCCAAGACTTCCTTCAACCTCAACTGATGGTTTTCTAAAATCCTTTCTAATTATGCATTTTGTTACTACAGTTATTGCTATAAATTCAAATCTTAATACCTATTCTTAATTCTTTTCACAATAATTTATATATTACTCCTTACAAAACTTCTTTTAACCCTACAAGCGATGTCAATTGGTCAGAATAGATATTATGATTACACAACACTGAGTGATTTCAACACAATACAATAAGCACACATCAAAGAAACTTGCAGGTTAGAGTTTTTTGTATTCTGTTCACGTGCATTTGGGTAGCATATACAGAGTTCTTTTGTTTGTTATTATGGTTGTATCCTAACCTGTGCCAGAATATACTGAGGTTACATGCATACTATACCTTTAAAGCCCATTCAAAGCACATTTCCCCCCACAAAGAATTCTGGGCACTGCAGTTTCTAAAGGAAATTGTAACTCTGTGAGGGATAAACCCCAGTGCCAAGAATTCTTTGAGGGGTGAAATGCACTTCAAATGTTTTTTAAAGGTATAGCATGTACTCGGTCGGAGTCAAGCACAATGAAAACTATCAGGATCTAGCTCCTGAATAAGGAGCAGAGACAAAACAGTTGTAAAACACTCACCACACTCTGGAACAAGGGCCTGCTTGATCTGCAAGCACCAATGATGAGCAATGCGGGCTATCACGTCCTTTGACTAGCTAAACGTTCACATTAGATGACTGGAATGGAGAAGCATCTGTTTGCCCAAAGATTTTCATATTGAAAAAATGTGAGATGCTAAAAGTAGACCAAATCCTGACATTAACTTTGATACATATTTTCTATTCTGGGGGTTATTTTAATCTATCTAATCTTCTCATTCATCCTTTATCCACCTCAGAGGAGTAAATCATAACATGAATGTATCATTTGGGTCAAGCAATATATTGCCATTTCCTCTTGGAAAATGGAAACACTAAATCATACATTTTCCCCTCTGCCAACATTTTGAAAGGTCTGCATTCTTTCTTGTTTCAGACTCAAGTCTTCCCACAGCTAAAAAGTTATTACGAAGCCATTCAGGTTCACAGGGCATTCCCACTCTAGCTAGCCAATTAATCCCAACGCAAAGCTGTTTAACATGCAGACTTGGTAATAGCACACTTATCCAAAACAAATAACTGTGCCTTCTCACTAGAGATTTATTATCATAATGCACTTGGCTGCACCTTGGCCTTGGACTAGAGGTCTAGGGGTTCTTAAAAAAAGTGAAAGTGAAAAAAAGGAAGATCCTAAAACCCCTAAAGTTACAAAATTCTATTAGGAAGCAGATGGCGAAGATAATTATCCTGCAGCTCAACCATACTACTAATTAGGTATACTCTTTGCATTACATTTGCTTTATGAGATTGCAAAAAGTGTGTGTGTGTGTGTGTGTGTGTGTGTGTCTGTGTGTGTCTGTGTGTGTACCTTAGCTCTTATGAACTGCTCAATAAGAGTCAGAAATTAAATTAAGCTTCTTGCAATCCAGTTTTTCTCTTGCATTTGTTCTCCTAAATGATACTAATAGGGCCACTTAAGAAGAAATCAGCCAAGAGGCATAGGATGGTCCATAAGCAGAAGTGTGGTTTTATTTATTTGGGGTTTTTCGTTCATCTGATTTGTGTAACACCTTTTGAAAAATGCCTGTGGCAATGAAAGCTCCTGTCTCGTCCTCCATCAGTGCACCACCATGTGTACAAGACTGTGAAGGAGAAAGATTTGAGTTAGCAGACCCAGCTAGGAGCCGCAACAACTCATTTGAGTCATTGCCTTCATTTTCATTTTATAAATTAAAATCTAACTCCAGGGCTCATTCTCAGTGAGCTAGCAAATTGAAATATGGTATCTGGTGTAATAATTAAACCCATACAATTTTTGGAAATTGAACACTTAGTGATAAACTGTTTGCCTGTGATACAACACACAAGTGCACGTATCAGCAGTCCATCATAAAAAAATATATGTGGCCTGGTTCACACATAACATGATTTCTGCTCGTGGTCTGTTTGGAGAGAACCAAACCAAGTGTCTCAGCAAGAAGTGTCCCAGCAGCATAGCAGCAGCAGAAGGGTGGTTTAGAGCAAATCAAGAACTTTTACCAGGCTGATGCATGATGTTCTTAACTATGGTTTAATCCAGGGGTCAGCAAACTTTTTCAGCAGGGGGCCGGTCCACTGTCCCTCAGACCTTGTGGGGGGCTGGACTATATATTGGAGGGGGTGTGAATGAATTCCTATGCCCCACAAATAACCCAGAGAGGCATTTTAAATAAAAGCACACATTCTACTGATGTAAAAACACACTGATTCCCAGACCGTCCACGGGCCGGATTTAGAAGAAGATGGGGCCGGATCCAGCCCCCGGGCCTTGGTTTGCCTACCTATGGTTTAATGTGACGTGTAAAGCAGCCTGTGTGTGTTTAAATATGAAAAAAAAACCCAGATACCGTAAAAGATGCGTTTGTCTTTCACAAGTCACAATATTTGTATTTCATGACTCACATTACCACAAATTGAAACTACATGGCAGGATCATTTTCTGCAATATTGTGTGAAGTGTTTGTATTCTAATCGCCACCCAAACAGGCAAAAATATTCCTTCATTATTACACGTTACGTTCCACCCAGGTTGATATTTTTACCTCTAAATCTCTAAGTGGCCTGGACTTTTCACATTTCTATATGTGCTCCTCAGTTTTCCGCAGCAAAGCTGCACAAGCTGAGACCAAAAAGAGAATTGTTCTTCCTGGCTCTTTACCAGCTTTAAAATGTCCTCCCAGGGCTTAAGCCTGACAATTCTGAAGCAATATTTGGCTTTTTTCTCTCAACAACATTTACTTGGCTGAGGATATTTGAAGTATACTTATCATTAAGATAATTAAAAGCCTGTTCATAAATTGTTATATGTTCCTTAGCATAACATGAACTTAAGCTGTAACCCATGTGGCAAAGATCTTACAAAGTTATCTCTTTCGGTCCCTAAAACGGTTTTTACTTGTTAACCTTCCAAATTACAAAATACGTATGCTGTAGGATATGGATAGTGATGCCCACTAGTGTAATAATGCATTTGTTAATCGCTTTTTGTATATTTTAGAAGTCCCAAAGCAACTTAACAGCAACTTTAACAAACAGTTAAAATCAATTAAGAGCCAAATTAAAAACAACATCATACAATCCAAAATTCCTAAAATGCTCCCCCAACAAATTGTCTTGGCATATTTCCTACCAAATAAAGACATATGCCTTGGTTGGTATAACTATTCTGGATTTACCACAAATCCAGAACAGCCTTATTGCGCATATCAATTATATTCTCCCTAGCGAGATGTCTGGAGCCAATGTCTCAATTTCTAGGAAGGTAAATAACATCCACATTTGTACACATGGTTCTTGCTGAAGACTTGTGCGATGAATCACTTACACTGCATTGGCAATCCCTATTAACAATGCTCATTAGGTGCCATGTTCTCTTTCAATCATTTTAGCAGCAATGCAATCTGTTTTTTGAACTTTTGTAAGATTTAAGTATTTGAAAAGGGCTTAGGTCCCGATTATCAATGGAAAATAGCTCATTATATTCTCTCTCTCTCTCTCTCTCTCTCTCACACACACACACACACTAGGAATCTACCATTGAGGCCCTTTTGAAGATTCTGTCTTATGTGTAGATGAGAGTGGCCACCACAAGAAGAGGCCTTTTTCTGTTGCATCACCAGAACTCTAGAATGTCTTCTGCTGGAAATCCTAGAAGGCTTCTTCTTGTCTATATTTCTGCTACCAAGTATGGTGTGCAGTCTTCTTCCATTCAGTAGAAAATCTGTTGAGGATGTTGCTGATTTGCTATCTTATAACTATGTTGTTGTTGTTCATTTACCTTTTCATATTGTTTGGTTTTTACATTTCTACAGAGTTTTGAATGCTAAAGAGATACAGTTTTAAAAACTTACTTTTTTTAAGAATCTGGAAAAATAAAACTGACAATTCCTGAATTTTGTATTATTGTCATTTTCCTTAAAAACTGGCTGTCTGATCACAGAAATATAGAAACTGTATATTATAGGAAAGCGGGTTGGGGAAAGGGCCCTGTGGGTTAAACCACAGAGCCTAGGACTTGCCGATCTGAAGGTCAGTGGTTCGAATCCCCGCAACGGGGTGAGCTTCTGTTGCTTGGTCCCTGCTCCTGCCAGTCTAGCAGTTCGAAAGCACGTCAGAGTGCAAGTGGATAAATAGGTACTGCTCCGGCGGGAAGGTAAACAGTGTTTCTGTGCGCTGCTCTGGTTCGCCAGAAGCAGCTTAGTCATGCTGGCCACATGACCCGGAAGCTGTACGCCGGCTCCCTCAGCCAGTAAAGCGAGGTGAGCGCCGCAACCCCAGAGTCGGCCACAACTGGACCTAATGGTCAGGGGTCCCTTTACCTTTTATATTATAGGAAATACAGCATGGACTGCAATAAGGACCTACTACTTAAAACTAATAAGATTGCTCATGATTGTGTGTCGTGTCATAATACGGGGACCCAGAGTATGTGTGAGGGGGTCCACAGCCCACGTGCATGACAGCAGGATGTTCAAATGAAAGCTACTCATTTGCAGAGAGTGGAAGCAGGGTCATGCCTATCAACCTGGCTTCCTCCTACTCCTCCCAGTCATCACACACATGCACACGCATTAGGGGCAGATTTAGGGCTGTGCAATTGGTGCGCACGCATGAGGAGCTGAGCTGAGAGGGTGCTATCTCAGAGCCCGGTGAGCTAGGCACTGAGCTTTGGAAAGGAGGTGTGAGGCTCTAACAGCGTCCTAGAGTCCTCACACCTCCTTCCCAGCGTCTCCTTATCTGCCTTTGGGAAGGCAATGCAATCACTTGGGTGGGCGCCAAATTTTGGCCTCTCGCAGGGTGCCATAGTACCCAAGTCCACCACTCCATGCACATGTGCGCACATGGAAGCATCCTAGTCACACTAACACCAGGTGTGTTTGGTAAGTGTGAGAAGAAACCCTATGCATGTACCAATGTACATGGAGTTTCTCCACACAAGAGGAATTCTGGCCCTATCAGGATCTCACTTGTGCAGAAATGAGCATCTGAGTAGAATCTATTTTCATGTTTGCATGGGGTTGTTGCTGGCACGAGAGTAGGGACAGGACCCTCCCAATGCATTTTCAATGGAACATTCTTACTGTCAGTATCTGTTAAAGGAATTATGGTTTTAAAGCCAAAATTCCCCCAAACTATTTATTTCTCCTTAAAGCTTCTTTAGGCAAGATTTAATAGTAAAAATTCCCCAGGTTCTCATGCTAAATCGCCAGACCAGTGTGTGTGTGTGTGTGTGTGTGTGGTGGTGTAGTAGTAGTAGTAGTAGTAGTAGTAGTAGAACTCTATTATCAATTAAAATCTTTGTCAAGCAAAAATTAAACATATTCACACCAAAGGACAACAGCAAGACAGGTTATTGGATATTCTTCATCTAGCCAACAGTGCTTTTTGCTAGCTATTCACACACCTCAAGCTTAGGCAGAACAATAAGCAAAGCAATTCATGAAAGGACTGCATAACACAGACTCGATCATGTTTTCAGCTGTTTCTGGTCCAAACCAGTATGAATGTAATGGGAAAGCTGCAAGATGCAGCCCAAAACTTATTCTAGAAAAAAACGAACACAAGGGATATAGAATTATAATTACAAACTAAATTTATGTGCAGATTTATTCAGAATGCAACAAATTGAACACTGCTTTTTTCTTTACATATACTTCCCACTGGAATTCAGCACCAGCTGAAATGGAGTTTGTAGCTGACAATGGGTTTTATTCATTCATTAAAAAAAAATACATTTGATTTTATGACCTTTGAGATTAACCTTGTTGATACTAATATCTCTGTTGTTACAGTTATATGAAATTTGAAATGTAACTATTTAATAGTCTCTCCAGCTCCAAGACAGAGGCACAGAAATAATAAGGCAAAGGAAAGGAAACTATTAATAATTGTTTCCTAAAGAGTGCCTAGTGTAGATAAATCAAATGAGCATATGGTTTCATAAACCTAAATAATTGCATTCCGACAATCAAACTGCAACCAAATATTAAAATTGGAAAGGTGATTAAATGATTTTAAGAAAAGTGTTGGCATGGTAGACAGACTGGCAAAGTGTACGCAGTGACAAGAACTCACTTTAATTTGTATTTTACCATTTTGTTATTCAACTTCACTGATTGAACTGCCAGTGTGTCTAATATACATGAGTTGGACCACGTGAGTTGGGCTTATTTATAAAATGAATGAAAATAAAAATGAATGCACCCTCATTTGTTTCCATGGGAAACAAATGAAAATACAGAAATGAATGAGAAAACAAATGAATTTTATTTTTCTTTCATTTCCCCCATTAATTTTCCATCAAAGAGATTCCTGACACTGTTAAGAGGCATTGCATTGCATGATAGAGCATCCTTACATAGACTGATATAGCCAGGGGACATTCTGTGTGGAGCAGCAATCCTAAAAGTGGCCCCAAAGTGACAAGACATGAAAACAGTGCACTCTGAAGAATAAAACAGTGGGAAGCTTAAAGGATGCCACTCCTAACTGCTTAGAACAGGGGTCAGCAAGCTTTTTCAGCAGGGGGCCAGTCTACTGTCCCTCAGACCTTGTGGGGGGCAGGACTATATTTTGAAGAAGAAAAAATGAATTCCGATGCCCCACAAATAACCCAGAGATGCATTTTAAATAAAAGGACACATTCTACTCATGTTAAAACATGCTGATTCCTGGACCATCTGCAGGCCGGATTTAGAAGGCGATTGGGCCGGATCCTAGTTTGCCTACCCATGGCTTAGAACGTGGCATCTTCAACCTATCTGACACTTGGCAGGGCCAATGCAGCAGGGAAGACCTCTAAAAATAAAAATCATGCCATTTGGATAAAAAACAATGGCATTATAACATTACAGATTTTTAAGTATTATTATAGAGAGAGGAGCATTCAGCTATAATATGAACCCCATGCCCAGTTTGAGGTGGTGTAGCTTAGACATAAGTTTCCCACCTCTAATATAACTAGGCCTTCAATAGTGAATGTTTACTGCACTTCTCAGATGTTGCTCACTTGCTGGAAGTACAACAGCAGAGATCATTCTATGATAGGCATTGGTAAGAGGATATATTACTGATATTTAAACATCTACACACCCACATGTGTGGGTTAACTAACAAAAGAAAAACAGCTAGTGCCTGTTTTTAAAACCATAGGGCTCACACATAAAAGCCTCAGTAGCATAGGTTATTAAACCTTCTTTTAACAGAAGATCAAAACCTATCTGTTGTTTTTTTAATCCTCTCATTAGGTACTCTTTTAGTTCAGTTTACCCTGTAAAGTATTACCAGCTTATTTTCTGCTTATTATTTGTTACTCTGGTAACACTACTTAAATTGTGAATGTTTGGGGATCAGTGGATTCCATGTGGACTCAAATGTCAACAATATCTTTGTTTTCTATACAAGTTTATAGCAAAATGACTGACCCTGCAGCTGGACTGAGATTTTAAAAAATACTGCTCAACTATTTTTGTTGCTGAATATTGTTTGCTAATTTTGTGCTTATATTTTGCTGTTATCTTTTACTCCCTGATTCCTAGAGCAGCAGCGGGGGCGGGAGGAGCCTTTTTGTGGCTCCTTTTTCTATGTCTTTGCTTTGGGGTTTACTGCCATATGTATGATCAGCTAAACGTCTTGTAAATTGATGGGGATAAGCTCTGGAATCCATCTCGGAGGAACCGCAGTATTTTTAGGGCAAGAACTGCCAAATACATTAATTTCTAAGACATCTGCAAAAATAGTTCACTGTCTACCAAAGCTTATTTGTTGGAATCATCTCCTCCCACTACCACCACCAAATAAAGATAAAAATGGATATTAATGCAAAAGTTATGCAGTGCACACTTGGAAGCCCTGAAACCCATAGACATTCCTATCAAGATTTGTTGTACTTGCTCTGTAAAATTGCAGTGTGGAGTATTTAAGAGCATACAAACTCAGCCAGCGATTTATCTGCCCATTTATGTGTGATAAGTCATGCACTGGCAGGGAAACTGCTAGTTGCATCGCAGGCTCTGCAGGGGAGATGGTGCAAGATCAGTGCACAAGTGGCTTATCATAAGAAACAGAAACATATTACAGATACAGAATATAACAAGATGGTTTCTCCCACCACCAGAGGATTCAGTACAGTGCTGCATAAATATTTGCCTCACATACAGAATTGATCTCGTCATCCTCCTGGAGGTGTTTGTGCATTAGAAGATGCTGAAGGAATACCAGAAGAGCACTTCTGAGGCCCTTCCTATATGCACCTAGGCATTCAGGGTGGCCCATAACTTACAAAATGTTATTGAAAATGGGTAGGTAGTAGGGATGCAGCAGGTATCAGAAACCAGATATTAATACATTAATGTAAATAAACCAGAATTTGGTATCTGAGAGTATCCTAGCATCTGTTTCTACTTCTAGTTGGAATGGCATACTCTCAGCAAATACAGAAATATTGAAAGGAGGAAATGATTTTGTAGGAAGAACAAAAGGCAGAGAGAGGGTAGAGCGTGTGAGGTGTTGATGGAGACAAGGTGGTGGCCAAAAAAAAGCTATCCCAGAGCAAATATAATCTGATTGTAACATCTACAATAGTCATTTTCGGATCAGGAAAACATTAGAAGTTGCTGTGCAACAATTGTGGAGACACATCTCTAGGCCTACATGCATTAAACGTGTGAAATGACACAATTAATGCCCTACATCTGCATTGATGCTAATTAATAAAATGAAACAAGCAAAGATTCCTACGAAATGTATTTTCTTGGATTGTGAAATAGCTATGGACTATAATTCTAAAAGCAAATTATTATTATTATTGTACTTTCTGTATCATTATAAGGCATCTTAAATTTCCCACAAATCATGATGCATTTGAAAAAATTGTTGCAGTTTCATAGAA